TTAGTCTAATGATCATGGTGACTAATGGTAGTCTAGATTCCTCACTAATCTCAATGTCTACATCAAGATATATCAAGCAAGGATCAACCAGACATGACAGTTGGGAGGCAAGATCATTTCGGTATAATAGTTTTACTGAAATCCAACAACCAAGCCAACATGACCATTCTAGACACCTCTCCCGTAAGTAGATTAATCAGTATAATGACTTGGTATTACTGATAAATCTTATTTATAGGTTCATAATAATGACTTATGACTATAAATATAAGTTAAACTGAAAGCAAAAGAGTGTAGCTTAACTTACAGAGATTTTAGCTAAAAACTGTGAAATTACACTTGCAGAACTCCAGCCTGATAGCTACTAGTTGTCGGGCTCTCAAGGACCTCAGAACTAACAAAAATACCCTTAATACTAAGGAAATATTCAGACCAAAACAACTAGAAAATCGAGAGAGAGAGAGAGAGAGAGATATTGGAATGGTGTAGGAGAGAATGAGGGAGATGAAGGCTATTTATAGTGTAGAAAATGACTTTACGTGTCGTGCATAATACTAGGCGCATCGCGCTTTTCCAGTGTGATGGCTCTTATGGTTGTTTGACATGTGTTGTATGAAGATTTGGCAATCTCTTACATTCTAGAAGACTGCCAAGTGTTCGATTTTTATGGAGCGACGTGTCACGTCTGCAACGTGTCATGTCGACTTGACTCTTGGATGAGTGGGCGGCCAACTTGCCACGTGGCGCACTCTGGTGCTGCAATGTCATCGGCACAAGCGTTTTCTCGCAGAACTTCGGATGGCCATAAATTTCGCATACATGCTCTGTTATTGATGTTCTTTATATCCCCGAAATCCTCTCGATGACAACTATAATTTTCATTAAGGTCTCAACATCTAATTCTTGCTCTAACAAAAATTCATATTTAGACCGGTTTACACTGTTAAAGTCTGTGCGAAATTCATAACTTCTTCATACGAACTCTTGACTGCCTTTTTATCGACAGGTTCGTATTCATGAGAACTTCAGTTCTCTTTTAGATTGTTTCGGGTAACAATCAACCAATTAGAAATTTGATTTTTGTGCCCATACTGTTACGCCGAAACTTCAAAAAATCATAACTTCCTCTCCCGAAGTCAGATTTGGACATCTCTATATGCATGCTCTCGGTTGAATGATTACTATGAATTTCATTTAGATCACTTAGGCTAAAAAGTAATTTATCAAAAATTCAGTTTTTACGATATGCAGAGCCGTATCGGTTTAATCACGAAACTTCAAAGAAGCATTAACTTTTTCATACGAAGTTGAATTTCAGCGTTCTTTATATGTACAAAATTCTTGTCACATATACTATAACTTTGATTAAGATTATTTATCCTAAATAATCTTCTATCAAAAAGTCACTTTAACGCTTATTATGCCTTAATTGACTAGTTCGAATCTGCGACTATTACTTCAGTGAAGGAAAATATATAATTAGCTCATGTTACATAGTTTCATTTATTGTTCTTTATTGATAATGATACATGTATTTGGGTATTTAATTAAACTGTTTTTCAGTTTTATAACTAATAGGCCCTATACCAGCCATGTTATGTGTAATATTTATTCTAATTCTTACATATATTAGTTATCGTGCTACTTTGGTGATTCCTTATTTTTTATGTTTCTAAATATGTAGGCTTGGAACTCATGCTCGGGCTTATGGATAAATGAAAATATGGTTATTGATATTTGGTAAAAGGTAAAAGGTAAAAACATTGTACTTTCAGTTTTTTAATTTTAACATTATTTTGTGTTTGTAATGGTTGTCATCTTGGAACAGAAAAGGTGAGCCCAACCATGCTTATTTGAATTTTTTTAATATACATGTGGCTACTAATTGTAAAATGAGTATCTCAATGGTCTATACAGAGGTGAGATTTAATTGATATCAAGAAATGAATATATAAATGGGTTATAAAGAGGTTTGATTAAGAAAACCAAACAAAGAGTCACTTTACTGAATTGCCTGATAAGGTTTGCAACAATTTGATGTGAGGTTTTAGGTGTTCCTTTTTGCAAATCATTTTCTTTTACTTAACGAATGAATCATTATATGTTGTTGGAAGAAATAGGGTTTATGTTGGAGATCTGGATACCCCTTGGATCGTGTGAATATTTTCCGAACTGATATTTTTACCTTATGTCTGGGTTGCAAAAAATCCAGCCTAGGATAATCCAAGAGGACACTTGCGATTCTAGGCACAGAAATCGTAAACCAAATTGCTAGAAGGATTCTATGTTTGACTGACGAAAAAGAGAGCTAATGATTTTCGTGTGTATCTTCTCAAAGAGAAGAGTAGTTTATTTATATTAAACGAGATTATGGTTTGTCTCTTAGGGTTGGTCGTCATAGGTTGCTTTGGAAGCAAGTATGGGAAATCCGGATTTTAATGAGGATTTAGGGTTTCCAACACTAAGAAATTTCATTAGTTTTACCATAATCACCCTCAAGAATTTGAATTCCCCACTATATTCCCATATGTAAAATTCGAAGAGTTTTTGGGGCGTTACCCCTTGACCCTGCCCACTGACCATGATTTTCGTGTGAATTTCCCACTATATTCCCACTATAGCGGGACCCCAGCCAGTGGCTCTGCCCATTGGACCCCGTTAGGGGCGCTGCCCCTAGACCCCGCCAAATGGGCGCTGCCCCTTTGGAAACCCCGGACCCAGGGCTGCTACCCCTGGACCCCCGACTTCTAATTTGATCTTATACATGCGTGCACTCCGCACAACCCCATACATATATTAGAGTACACATTATGAAGCCCCTTAGCTCACATGTTATATAGTTCCAATTATATAAAATGACATGATGACACTAAAATCGTTCTTTTGTTTAATAATCAAAATACAATGGTCAGTATTTTGTTTGTTTAAGCGGCATAGTGATATTTTGTATAAAATTTGGTTGTTAGGTTTGATTTTCCCTTATTAATGTTCACGTGTTTGTCAACTGGGTTGAATATTTGAATATTTTTGAACAAATTAACAAAACATTATTTCTTACTTTATCGGGTCAACAACATGAGCATATCTACTCATCTGTCCTCTCATATGGTTAGTTTTAACCAAATAGACTATTTAATATGTATTTACATATTTATATAATGTAAAGAATAAAAAAAAATGAGGTCGACAAAAGAGATTGTGTCATCTACACAACAAAACTGAATATATACAACAAATTGTTTTCAAAAATTAATTAAGCATAAACTCCTTAGAAAAACATTTGATCATAGACTTTGTTATAGTTTGTAGAACATACAACGATAGAAAACTAGGGTTTTGTATACTCCTGTTTTGTGGGAATTGTTGTTATTTGTGTGTAAAAATGAAAATATAATTTTGTTAACCTTAAGTATTACTTATAACTTTACTATCAAAGAACTAAAAGTTTCCAATATTATCGTGTTAAAATTTTGATATAATTTATAGATATTGTAAGTGTGTTGCCATTATGGAATTAAAATACACCATCCATATACGTAATCACTTTGTTTGTTAATGTTTTACAGGGGTTAATTGTTGCAATTTGGGTATATTAACATATAGAGTTATAGAATAGCTTGAGAGTAGGATATGTTTTATTTAATGGTATTATTTTAACTTCTTTTTTTATGAATAAATTATTGCCCTTTTAATTGTTATATGAAGCAATCATAGCTTTTGTATGGTTTTTAGGGAAATATACGAAAGATTTTGAAAAACATTAGTTTTTCCTATGGAAAAGTTATTGATTACATCAAAATGAAACTAAAATTTTTATTTTTAGGGCAATTAATGGATCTCCAAATATATGTACATTGTTTGATTATTAACATTTTTGAGTAAATTATACGAAATAATCAATTTTATACAAATGATTAATGATATAGATGTAATTGAATAGATTTGTCATAGACAATGTTATAATTGGAACAAATGAAAGTAGGATGCTATAAAAGAAAGTAAAATCAATACATTTTTTTTACATCGGCCAACCCAACCAACGGACGAGTATAACATTAGCTAATAAGAATCAATGACACTCGTTATGGAATGTTGGGTTATTTCTCAAATGGCCTAATTATTTTATTATTTTGTATTCATGTATGTTTCTTATATGACCTTATTTTATAATTTTAAATAAAACATTGTTATTTTCATGATTGGTTGTCTATGTTTCTTTTATTAAATTTTATATTTCATTATACATCATTGATCATTTTTTCATTAATATAGACATAAAGAGTATTTCTTATATTTTAAAACCATTTTACATATTAATTTTAAATAATGATTATATAATTATCAGACAAAACATCTAACATCGTATAAAAATAACTGTTTTCAAATCAATGATTAAAGATTAAGTTTTTTAAATTTCAATGTTATTTTATTTTGTCATGTAGTATATAAGTTTTAACATAATTTAGTTAATATATAAAACATAAATTAGGGTTCCATTGAACCTAAAGTTAATATATAAAATATAAATTAGGGTTCCATTGAACCTAAAGTTAATATATAAAATATAAATTAGGGTTCCATTGAACCTAAGTTTGGTTCAATAGATTACTTATATGATATGTGAGGCTTAAAACTACCAACCTAAATAGCATACACGATCCGATACAAATATAAGCATAAACTAAATATTATAACATGCACATGTAACATTTTATTTATGTGGTAATGTGTATCACACTTTTTCCATGTAGTTGGCAAAAAATGACTAAAATACGATCACCACAAGAGTGGATACGTCCATTGCATTAAAAACCTTGTTATCCATCTACCGCATAGTTCCCCAATAATACGTGCATGCATACCTCCACCACAACCCAGATCCCTCTATTGCCACCATTGAAAACACAGCCACCCTTACACCGCCACCAATTTAATCAATATCATTGTAAAAACATATATCCCTAAGAGATCAGCACCACCATCAACCGCCGTTCGTCACCATGTCTAGTTTGCCGGAGGACCAACTGAACCAACTTCGGGAAATATTTACAAGATTCGACCTGGACAAAGACGGGTCCCTCACCCACCTCGAGGTGGCGGCCCTCCTCCGCTCTCTTGGCCTGAAACCAACCGGAGAGCAGATCCATAAGCTGTTTAAGAACATGGATTCCGATGGGAGCGGGACTGTCGAGTTTAATGAATTGGTAAGCGCTATGTCATCGCAAATGATGAACGAAGATATTTTGATCAATCAGCATGAGCTTCTGCAGATCTTTCAATCGTTTGATAGGGATGGAAGTGGGTTCATTACGCCGGCTGAGCTGGCAAAATCCATGACGAAGATGGGTCAGCCATTGACGTATCGTGAGCTCTCTGAAATGGTTCGAAACGCCGATACTGATGGCGATGGTGTGATTAGTTTTAAGGAATTCCAAGGAATAATGGCTAGATCTGCAGCCGATTCACTTGGGTTCACGTTGTAATGACTTTGATCTTGAAGGGTAAATACGTAAGTAAATGTAAATGATTATTTCCTTTATCGGTTATGTATTGATCTCTTGTTCATCTTTTGAATCATTTGATCAAGATTCATTACAAGAAAGTTAGTTTTTTATTTTTTGGCTACCGGAAGCAAATTCAAGACGATTTTCGGGTTGCATTTAATTCATCATGGCCATTTAGTGATCAATTCGAGGTCGAAGATACAATTTTATCGTTTGATCATTTTGGTTTCTGTTTCTGTTCGAAGGTTTGATCTACGTTTATGTAAGACAAATGATGACGCAAGTGAAAATGAAAATGGAATGGTTTTGATCAAACAATGTTTCATGGCTCGTGTAGTCGTGTTCATCCAAAAAAACGTCTCATGCGTTTAGGGAAAAAAAACTATAACCAAATGTATCTTTCACAAGGTAATGTCATAATCAATTTTTATATGGACCAATGCAAACTAGTGTGTGAATTAACCAAATAACATCCTTGTATAAAAGATATATTTCTTGAAAATGCAATTTCTATAATAACCATAATTTTTATGGAATCTTTATAGATTTCAATTGATTTTCATATCGAATTTCTACATTCCATATGACTCTATCAATTTTTTCTACAATATATTGAACTATATAAAGTTCAATACAATATTACAAAAGCTAATATATAGTATTTATTGAAAAGTTTAATGACCATTAAACTCCAAATCTATTACATGTCAAAATGACAACTCACAATTGTAGTGTTTTATCAATTGAATGACAACTAGATTTACCACTTCATTCAACACTATCATTAAACTCACCATTATGGATGGTACCACTATGGATGCTCTTATATAGTGTATTACGCGAATATCTATGCGTTGCGCAAAATGTTATACTCTAATTAATATATGTTATTAAAAATAGTTATTATTGACTTTGAAATAATATTTTTTTTTACATTGTAATTACTTTAAATATAGAATAAGATAGATACATATTTAAACTAATAAATCTCAAGAGTGTTTATTCTTGGATAATATAAAATTTCATTAACTTTTAATTTTATTTTTTTGGTATTATTTACCATGATAATTAATCAATTTGTATATCAATCTTTTATAACTGTATTATATTAATGATATATATCCAAATATGCTTTTGTTCTCTAACAATAGTAGTTTGATCTATCATTTTTTCCTCATAAATACATCAATAAATATTTTCTTCCATTCACCTACATAAATAAAAATTTACAATCTATATATAAAATCAGTTAACTTTGAAAAAAATATTTAATTACACGTTTACATAAAGACAAATGTCTGTAATGAAATCATGTGGGTAAGTCGAATTCCGGGTTATCAGTTTGATGTTTGTCACTTAACCGAACCGTATTACTTCCGTTAATCCGCTTTTTGGTTATTCGGTTCAAGTTTGAACCAATTCGGCCTCGTTACTCGGATAGCACACTAAATTCAAATTGTTGCATTTGTCTTCTCCTACTCACGTAATCTCATCAATTTGTTTAATATCATCTTGGTTATTATATTTTGGCAGTCATTAACTTGGTCAAGCTTTGCACTCGCGTACATCGAATCATGTGTATATTGTTGGGTTTTGAGCATTCTAACACTCATATGGTGTACATGCAACCCTAAATACCTTGGATCTATGTTTTCTCTATTATACATGCAAATATCAATTTTCCAAGGTATTGTTCTCACTAGCATAATATAAAGTACATGTAATATAAAATCTAGTAGAATTACATACCTCTTTGTTGTAGCTTGATTCCATGGAGCTCAAGAGCCTAGTGCCCCAAGTGTGACACCTCAAATGGTTCACACAACATCAAAACAACTTCAAATAACCATGAGAAGAGATACTTCACTCTAGAAATCGGTTTGCCCTCTTATGTATCCACTAGTGCCAATTTCACCAACCAATGGGGTCTTTATATAGTGGGCACATTAGGGTTACACCATGTAACCCATGACTTTACCCATTCCTTATGCTCCATGGGCTTTAACCTCCATGGAGTATCCATGGGTCACCACATGGGTTAAACCCAACATAAGGAATCATGGATCATAAGCCCACATATATAAGAATGAATGATTTACACAATCAATCCCCATATATTTAATTAGTCTCTTTTGATCACTAAATTAATTCCAAATTAATTCTTGATCAATACTAATTAAATAATATGATTTCATATTAATATATTAGAACTTATAATATATTAATATGTCACAAATATCCTCTTCTCACAAAAGGTCTATCCAAATGTCCCGATGCCATGCAACCCAAATGGACCATACCGAGTCGGGTCAAGTATATACCAATTATAGTTATGGACTTAGACACTAATCCAACAGTCTCCCACTTGGATAAGTCTAATAACTATTATTGCAAGTACAACTCCAACATGACTAGCAATCGTAGCTCTTAAAAGCTGCTGCCGAACTCTGAACAAATCTATGACGTGTCCATTAGATAAGTGATCATATATTCCTCCATTCTAGATATCATATGGACTGAGACATGGATTATAATCATTCTCTCTGTCCATTTGTTGTTTCCCGATTTCTGATTTATGACAACCGACTAATTGAACAAATGAGGAGTTTACGGCCAGGCAGTATGAGTTTACGGCCAAGACTCATGGTGGCCGTAAACTCCATACTATATATATGGTCCTTAGTCATTTTCAATCACTTTTCACATTTCAAGCCTAGAAATCGGATTTTCTCTCAAGTATCTTAAGAACTTTCATCAAAATCTTCAATCTAGTAAGTAATCTTTCCAATTTCAACTTGATATCCTTCCATATCTAGTGAATATACATGATTTCATCCATGAAATCTCTTCTTTTTTTTAGATCATCAAGTGTTCTTCATTTCACCAAGAACACCAAGAACACACTAGTGTTTTTGGACCTTAATCACCCTTTCAAGCTTCTATATCGTAAGTACTCTCTCCTAAGCTTGTTGTATACTTGTAATACTTGAAGAACACTTAGAAAACATCCATTTGACAAGAACAAAGGGAGTTTACGGCCAAGACCATCTCCCTTGGCCATAAACCCTTAAAATGGTGCCATATTGACCCTAAACTCTTCTAGGAGCTAAACTTGTGAACTAGAATACTTCTTGGAAGACCATTAGACCTTGAAAGCATCTAGAATTCAAGAACAAAAGGTGTTTACGGCCAAGACAATCTCCCTTGGCCGTAAACCCTAATTAGTGATGCATATGGACCATAACTTCTTCCTAAGGCTTAGACATGAGACTAGATCACTACCTTCATGATTGTAAGACCTTATCACACAAAATGATACAAAATACCATGAGTTTACGGTCATAAACTCATAGGGCCATAAACCCATGGGCCGCAAACTCATGGGGGTATTACCATTTGGGCCGTAAACTCCTATGTGAGGCCTTACATCCCTTATATGCAACCCTATGTGGTTTAACACTTCATTACAAGTGTTTCCTAGTCCCTAACGTTGTTCCATTTCATGATCAGATGTTTTAAACACTAATTATATCCATATATGTATCATTATATGTTAATAGGATCCGTTGTGTTCAAGACTTCACTTGACACTTAGCATCCTACACCAATCTTACATTTGAATAACTTACAACAGGTAAGTTCATACCCCCGCATTTTCATAGTTTTTACTGTTTTAAGGGGGGGAATACAAGTCTAGCACAAAGATTTTGTGTTATAACAAATAATTTCAAATGGATTACAGTTATCAAAACAAATGGTTTCAAACATCTTATCGAAATGAATTTCAGTATCATCAAATCAAGTGGTTTTAGGTGATTGTTTCAAAAAGACATCAAGTCACCAAAAATGGATTTCAAAATATGAAACTTCTTTTAAATATTTTATAAACTTATATTTTTCCCCAAAAATCATACTAGTATACATATATTTATATAAATAAGATTTAAAAGATTTAGGACTGATAACCCACTTTGGTTCCTTTTCCTTGTTTGGATGTGGGATTATAAGTATCAGTTATTTGTCCGAGTGTCATTTAAATTTTACTTATATATATTGTATATGTATACAAGTATAAAAGTTTATTCATTTAGTTTCAATTACCATTTGTAACAATTTGAGCAAGGGGTTGTATTCATTAATACTAAGTATCAATACATAAAGTACATATAAATTATAATAGGTATAATTTATGATTCACAGAACATTAGTTCATGATTCAAGCATACTAAAGTACATTGTTTTACAAAAACAAAGGTTTAATTCAAAACTATCCAAGCGTATACATTCTTTCAGATACAAGTTAAGAGCACTAATTCAAGAACATACTAGTAATCATTTATTTCAGAATGATTGAGTTTTCATAATTATTATACATGTAACGTTTATATGCTTTTATGAGTCAAGTAGTACAGTTTATTTAATTCATTTTAAACAATATAGTAAAGTCCTGATATTATGACCAGAGTCTCCAGCAGGGGATCGAAACAATGTGTGTATAGATCTATATTGGGATTGACAACCCCGCACTCGAACTGCTAGCTACAGTCAGGCATACACGCCTGTGAGTGGCAATTATTATCATCAACTTTCAGCGCACTCATAGCGTTGGGTCAGGCCACCTAGTCAGTATGGTTATAATAACTCATTAAAAGATATTAACAATACGTTAAGTGTATAGTTAACTAAACTTATGTACTATTTCAAAGTACTAGTTTACCAGATACAGTTTACAGTAATACATTACAGTTTACAATTACAGTTAATGAATTCAGACATACTCATAGATACAAGTTTACTAAAGGATTACAAATACAGAACATTGGTTTACAAATAGAACAGTTTTATGCAACTAAAACTACTTTTCATATACAACATAAATATAAGGTTTTCTGGAAACAGTTACATATTCAAGAAAAAGAAGACATTCTTTCAAAACATAAATACGTATGCACTCACTCAACTTTATGTTGATACTCTCT